TATCCTCCTATTCCTACTCTCACTAGCTTGTGGCACCGTGAATAATCCAGATATTACTACCCTCGAGGACCTACTTTTTAAATTCCTGCCTAACTTCCTATATTCTCTCCTCAGAATCCGTCAGTTTTCTATTAATCTTGAACGCAATCTCTAAAATTACTCAGACCCTTTCAGATGATGAATTCAGACAACCTGTTCATGGGCACTAACACATCCACTTTTCTTTCTTCTGATCTTTAACAATTTTGTCAATCCATTATCGTCGCTTCATGCTGCTTACCCTTCCCCATAATGATTACAAATGGCTCTCCTTTCAAGTCCAACTCTTTGCAGAAATAAACAATCTTTTGTCCTTGACTCTGGCAAACAATTTCACAAGTTCATAGATACTACTTCTATCTCCAAAGCCTACTCAAATTAAACATTATTTACCTGGTTCTAATACCCTAACTTCTGAACCATCAGCAAAGCTATTTTTGTTAATTAATTTTTGATTAGAAGTATTCCCCTTTTATTTTTGATTTTAGAGTGAGTTTATTTGAAAACAAATTAGTAACTGTTTCCATCAGCTCTGAAGATAGCAAAATTAGCTTGATTGAAGCATTACTTCCAAATTGAAAAGCAATTGAGTCATTTGGCCCTTAATTCAATTGTACACACAGATCCAATGTTCTTGCCATAAAATAGGGCTTCAATTGGCGTGCTTCATGTGGAGTTGTTAAGCAAATGTGAGCAAGTATGTACCAGGGATGGTTCGTAGAAGAAAGAAAAAGAATTAAGGATTTTTGGAGGATATGATAAAGAGTGAAAAATAACAATTGCTGATCAAACTTGTATAACATTCATGTGCTTGTGTCAAATAATTCAGGAGCGCACCAACCACCTGCAAATCTAGTTACAAGCACTCTCTCGAACAGTACTGTTGAAGAATTTGCAAATTGCTTCATTTGAACTCCTACAGCAGCCACATACAGTTGCTATGCAGCTATACTTTTGCTACTCTTTTATCTATTGTATTTTGAAAGTTGCAAAAAATGGCAGTGAACATTTCATTTGAAGTCATCAAATGTACTTTCTTCTAAAAAAAAATGTAAAATCTAATTATTCAAGCAACACTTTGGCTCAGCTGGGAGCAGTGTTTCCAAGTCAGATAATTGTGGCTATCATGCCCATTCCAAAGATTTAAGCGTCAACTGAACTGGTTGACACGTAAGGGCAGAACTGACGGACTGCTGATTGATTCAGCATTAAGTAAGCCTCATGGTTCCTGTGATGCAGTGTTAATGTCCCTATCTCTGGGCTAAGAGGCCCAGGTTCAAGTTCCAAATGCTCCAACTCTGAACAGGTTGATTAGAAAATACATATAAGCTAAGACTAATTCAGTCTGTTCCTCATTGTTTTGGCACAAATTTTACCACTTAAAATCAGCACAACCCATTTGAGAAACTAAATCCAAAGCATCTGGTAACTTGAAAGCTGAAATACTCCTGCAACACCAAACACTTAAAACCTGCCACCTTCATCCAGTTTGTCTACATGTGACTCTAGTCATTTATCTGCATGATTGAACCAGGGATGGGAATATACGCAAAAACAAAATTGTGCAAATACTGAAAACCTGAAATTAAATGGAAATTGCTCTTCAGAACTGACTAAGAGGCAGATTAGATATCGAACTTGAACTTGATTTCTCTCTCCACAGATGCTGAGAGACTTGCTCAGTTTCTCCAGTACTTTCTGTTTATACTTAGATTTCCAGCATTGGCAAGACTTTTTGAATGCTCTTCAAAATTGGATATGAGCCATTTTGAGATGCCAGTGAAGGCAGCTTGACTGTCTCCATTTCCACCAATTTATATATCTATTCCCACCAGCAATGACACACCTTAGCTGCAGTGTGTACCATTATCAAGGCTTCCTTACCAGCACTGCCACTATAAGGACAAGGGCAGTAGGCATATTGCAACAACTTCAGAGGATAACATATCTTCCATTCCACCATATACTGCAATCAACTGAATATTTTTTAAGGCAGAGGGAGATAGATGGGGTGAAATGTTATCTAGGTAGATGGTAATGTGTAGACATCAGATCAACCATGATCTTGCTGAATGGCGGAGCAGGCTCAAAGGACAAGTGGTCTATTTCTGTTCCTAATTCAAATGTTTGTATCTTACTTTGTTTCTGGACTGTCACTGGGTCAGAATCCTGTGGGCAGCACTTTCAACACACAGATTAGCGATTCAATAAGATAGCAGCTACATGACCACAACCTTGTTGAAGGGCAATCAGAGATGGGCAATGAAAAGCAGCCTTCCCAGTTAAAATCCTGGAAAGGCAAGCTCTGCCCTCGATTCAACAAGATGCAATATTAGAGGTCAATAAATAAAAGATGCAAAAGTTCATCAGATTGTAAAAAATCCAAGTGACAGTGAACCAGATGGATGATTTTTCAAAACAGTTTTCATAGGATGTGGGCATTGTTGCCCATTCCTAATTGCCCTTGAAGTGTACCCTGTTTGGCCATTTCAAAGGGCATTTAAGAGTTAATCATATTGCTGTGGATCTGGAGTCACACGGAGGCCAGACCGGGTAAGGATTTGCTTGTCTAAAAAGGACATTAGTAAATCAGACGGGTTTTTTTGACAATGGATGATAGGTTCATGATCATCTTTGTCGAGTCTAGCTTTTGATTTTTTTTTCCCTTTAATTTGAATTTAATAACTATTTTCACAGTCAGCATTACTGAGATAAGCTTTCATTCCAGATGTTTTTGATTCATTTGTTTGAATTTATTAACTGGATTCATTTACATTAATATTTATTGATTTTGATGGACTGAATAGCCCACTTCTCCGATCTCTTATGGTTTTATTAAGTTTTACAGATGAGAACATGAAACTCATAGCATAGGGGGCTCTTGCGGTGCAGTGTTGGTGTCCCAACCTCTGAGCCAGGAGACTAGGGTTAAAATCCCATCTGCTCCAGCAGTGTGCAATGTAATTGCTGAACAGGTTGATTAAAAAATATCTACAAGACTATGGGCCATGAGATTGGAATAGATGGTTGATGACTGTTGAGGACACGATGGGCCAAAGTGCTTTTTTGTCTGCTGTTTGAAAACTGTGATTTTAAAAACCTAGTTTCATGGGTCACAATAGAGTCATTGAGGTTTATAGCATAGAAAAAGGCCCTTCAGCCTATCAAGTCCATGCTGACCAAAAACAACTACCTAACTATTCTAAGAGATAGTAAGAACTGTCAATGCTGGAGTCCGAGATAACACAGTCTCGAGCTGGAGGAGCACAGCAGGCCAGGCAGCATCAGAGGAGCAGGAAAGTTTATGTTTCGGGTCGGGACCCTTCATCCAGATCCGAAACGTTAACTTTCCTGCTCCTCAGATGCTGCCTGGCTTGCTATGTTCCACCTAACTATTCTAATCCCATTTTCCAGCACTTGGAATGACAAGTGAACATCTAAATATTTCTGAAATGAGGCCTAGCAGCATCATCGTTAAACCCTTACCTTAAGTCTAGGCCCCCAGTTATTGATCCCTCCAGGGAATGGGAAAGTTCCTTCCTGTCCAATTTTATATGTCTCAATCATGTCCCATCTCAATCTCCTCTGAGCGGGGGGAAACAACCCCATTCTGACCAGTCTCTCTCTTTATAACTGAAACTCTCCACCTCCTCTGCACCCTTTACAGTGCAATCATATCCCTCCTGTAATGCAGTTCCAGTATAACCTCCCTGCTCTTAAACTCTATGTGTCCTCTAATAAATTTCAGAAGTCACATGACACAGGGTTATAGTCCAACCGGTTTGGTTAAAATCAGAAGCTTTCAGAGCACTGCTCCTTTGTCAGGTGAAGTGTAACTGTGGAACTCACTTCACCTGATGAAGAAGCAGTGCTCCAAAAGTTTGTGATTTTAAATAAACCAGTCGACTATCACCTGGTGTCGTGTGACTTCTGAGTTTTTTCTCAAAGATGCCAGTGTCAGAAACAGACCTGTAGTCATTCTGTTCATAGAGCTGACCCTCGTGGGACCCACCATGTGCCAATGTCACTTCACAGGTGAGAAGGTCATGAGTTCATGAGACTTGAGCACATGCACTCCAAGGATTGTGAGCGCACTTTTGGAGGTGCTGTCTCTCAGGCACGACGTTAATACAATCCTTGTCTGCTCCCTCAGGTGGACGTACAAGATCTTAAAGAGATGGGGCACTCTGCTGGTATGCTGTGACAGGAATTGAACCTGTTTACTGACACCGACACCGGCACCTCCACATCCTGGCACCCTCTAATAAAAGCAAACATCTCTTATGCCTTCTGAACCATTTAGCCACTTTAGCCACCTGTCCCTTTATGTTAAGGGACCTGTGTGTGTGCCAACCAAGGTCCCTTTGATCCTCAGGGTGTCTCTCAGGGTGCAATCATTCATCAGGTATTCCCTTGCCTTGTTTGTCCGGCCCAAGTGCATCATGGGGTCCATATCCACAGCTGGGATGTCAAGTGGGCATCACTTGCTGGGCCTGCATTTATTTGCCTGCCCATAGCGAGATGCCCTTGGGAACGTGGTGGTAAACCACCTTCTCGAAACACCCAGTCCCTGGCGCCATCCCTTCGCCAGTTATTGTTGTAGGGGGTCAAGGCTGCTCCATTGGAAGGTCGCCCCCAGATGCCGTTGACATTCAAATTTCAAACCCCGCCCCCCCAGCACCTGTTGGCCAACCGACCACCTGAGGTGGTGGGTGGGGGCTCGCGCAGGCGCATCCGCGCCCGACCTGAAAGGGGGCGGGTCTAATCCGGGGTGATGACCTCTCACCCAGATTCCGAGCCCGCGGGGTGCGGAATCTCGTGAACCTCCTCCCCGATTCGATTCATCAAAACCGCCTTTCACCTGTACCGAATAAACAGCGAATTGCTGCAGAAACTCAGCTAGTCTGGTAGTCTGTCTGCGGACACCGACAGAGACAGTTAACGTCTGTGAGTCTACGGACCTGTGCGATGCCAGCGCCCATTAGGCCGCCGCCGATCACTGTGATGTGTTTGATGGCCGCGCTCTGGGCGGAGGACATGGAGCGGAGAAACTGGTGGCTGACGAACGCCATGATTTGCCCGCTGACTGGAATTGCGGCAGCCGCTGTAAGTGAGGAGGTCAGGCTGAATTGTCTGTCATTGACCCGGGAGGCGAGGCATCGTCTCCTGTCAATCCTTGTCTCGGGGGCGGGGCCCGGTCTCCAGTTCATCAATAACTCTAGCGAGGCTCCGCCTCCTGTCAATCATTGTACAGTGGCGGTGTTATAAGACGGTGATAACAAGGTGTAGAGCTGGATGAACACAGCAGGCCGAGGAGCAGGAAGGCTGACGTTTCGGGTCTAGACCCTTCAGAAATTCCTCCTCTGATGCTGCTTGGCCTGCTGTGTTCATCCAGCTCTACACCTTGTTATCTCTAATCATTGTACAGAGGCGGAGTTCTGTCTGGGTCAGTGACCCTGGGGCGGGGTTGTTCATCCTGTCAATCATTGTGCTGAGGCGGAGCCGTGTCTCTGGTCAATCACTTCAGGGGTGGGGCTGCGCCTCTGCCAATCATTGTCGGGGGCGGGTCTTCCGCTGTCAATCATTGATTGAGAAAATGACGCCATGTGCAAAAAATGCATATTAATATAGCACATTTTTAGTACAATAAAACGCTTCGAGACAATTAACATATATAAATTAAAATATAATGTATTGACGCCAGGGTCAGAAATCACACAACACCAGGTTATAGCCCAACTAGTTTATTTGAAAACACAAGTTCTCGGAGCCTCAGTCCTTCTTCAGGCATTAGTGAGAGGGGTAGTATCAAGACACAGAATTCATATTTTGACGCCAAGCCATTGAATGAGAAATCGTGAAACAGGAATATAAGTTTGCACAAAGAAGTATGTTTTTTTTTGAAACAGCGATTAGTGAGAAAGGGAACTGAGAACTTAGATTCTAGACAGTTGAAATGATGAATGTCAACATTGTGACAACTAAATCGGAAGGGTGCAGAGAACTTGTAAGTTTGCAAGTGAAGCTACATAGATTGAAAGCATGAGGCAAAAACAGAAAATTGCTGGAAATACGCAGCCGATCTGGCAACATCTGTAGGAAGAAAGCAGAATTAATGTTTCAGTCCAGGCAGTCTTCATCAGAACTGTTAGCAGCTAGAAAAAAACTGGCATTTATGCTGAAGGTGAAGTGGTGGGGATGTAGGGGGAGAGAAGTGAGAGGATAGTTGGAGTTGGAGATGGAGCCCAGAGAGAGAGAGATGTGAAAGCAGTAGGTAAACAAGGAGATAATGGATAGCAGGCCAGGAAATAAGAGAAGTTGAATAAGTGATAATAAGAGCTAAGTGTGAGAACATGGGTTAGCTTTGCTACATGCAACCCATATAATGTGATAATGTGCCCAGAAGTACATGGGAATAAGTGACTGTAGTAAAAGCAACCCATAACATGACCACGTGTGGGTTGGGTAGAAAATATGGAGGATGTAATCAGGCTGTAAAGTTATTGAGTTCTGAGGAAGGGTCACCGGACCCGAAACATTAACTGTTTTCTCCTCCACAGATGCTGCCAGACCTGCTGAGCTTTTCCAGCAACTTTTTTTATGTAAAGTTATTGAACTTGATGTCGAGTCCTCGAGCTTGCAGAGTTCCCAAGCAGAAAATGAGGTGTGAACACTTGAATATTGCTGAATAAAGCTTTTTTTGTCTTGCGCTCAACAGAACAATTCAAAAGAAATACAGAAGTAAAGGGAAACAGGGAGAAAAGTGCTGATTGGTCGGTAAGTAGCCTGTGGTAGTGGTGTTGTCATGGAGAATGCACCAGTTAATGATAATAACTAGTTAACTGTGAAGCTTTGTATACATTTTAAATGTGGCAAGTTTGACTTTGCCCTGCAAAATGAACCAGAAAATAGCTGTTTACTATTCTGCGTTGAAATAGGTGCAGTATGTGTACATGTTCTTATTATCTTCAAAGTACAGGGCCCTGTGTATTAATGTTTGCAGCCCCCAATACTCATAAGTTGGCCTAACCTCTTGTTCACCTGATGATCCTAACTTTAATTGTCATCATAATTCCTCACACATTCAGGATTATTTAGCAAATGTTGTCTACCTGTGGAATCACAACTCATGTTGGGACGCCATATTGTGAGATTTGCAAGTATTGCCTGGTCAGGTGCAGTCAGTAGGTTGCTTATAGTGAACATAAGAACCAGGAAAAGGAGTAGGCCATCTGGCCCTTTGAACCTGCTTCACCATTCAATAAAATCATGGCTGAACTTTTTCATGGCCTCAGTTCCACTTACCTACCTTCTCACCATAAACCTTAATTCCTTTACTGTTCAAAAAATTATCTACCTTAACTTTAAAAACATTCAATGAGGAAGCCTCAACTACATCACTGGGCAGGGAATTCCTTGGATTCACAATCCTTTGGGTGAAGAAGTTCCTCCTCGGTTCAGTCCTAAATCTGCTCCCCCTAATTTTGAGGCTATGCCCTCTTGTTCTAGTTTCACCTGCCAGTGGAAACATCCTCCCTGCTTCTATCTTATCTGTTGCCTTCATAATTTCATACATACATACAATCCGCCAGTCTTCGATGTATGACCTATCTAGCATCACACTGATTCTGAAATTCATTTACCATTTGTGCGATAGGCAGAACATATTTTTCGTTTGATGGCAGCATCCTATTTAGCAGTGAACACCACTTGTGTTGCTGGTGAATAGTAATAGCATGAGACAGCCAGTTTCACCTATTTCCCAAATGTATGAGACATCTTCCCTTTGTAGGGTAATCTGAGGTAGACCAGGCACTTTACAGTCTCAGATAATCATGGATCCATTCCTAATCTTGAGTAATTCTATAGTGACAATTGATCTGAACAGTGTAGTCATTATCCTGCAGGATAATTTTGATTTCCCTTTGCTTTGGTATTTCCTGCAAATTGTCCTGATTTGTTAAGGACTTGAATTGTTGTTTATTCTTGAAAAGTAGTCAACTTTTAAAAATATAAAATGTCTGTATTGAAGTTTACAGCACAGAAGAAGGCCATTCATCTCCTCGTGCTTCTTCTAGGTCTTTCCTAGAACCATCCAAAACTAATCTCACTAGCTTCACACTTTCCCCAACACCTTACTCTTTTTCAAATATTAATTCAGTTTTCTCCAGAGTACAATACTTTCTTCCTCGACCATTATCTTTACTTGTCGCAATTGTTTCTCATTCTTGTGTCACCCTGGCAAATCTACATATACTGTGATCTCAAATTCCTTTCTATGATAGAATGACCAAAATTGTTTCCTGTGTTCCAACTGTGACCGAACCCATGCTCTTTAATCACTCAAGTACAACCTATCTGATTGATCTGTATACTTGATGTGAAACGTGTAAAGTGTTGTAGCTCTAACCTGGAAATGTAAAGGTAGTGAGGCACCTCAGAGTACCATACAATGCACTGAAAGAAGTTGAACTGTATTGCACTTCATAGAATGTCAAAATAATGTTACATTTGAGTGATTATGTCATGAAATTGGAGCTGAGGAGCATCAGTTCAGCCATGACCTCATTGAATGGTGGTGTAGACTCGATGGTCCAAACGGCCTACTTCTGCTGCTGTATCTTATGATCTTATTATGGTCTTATGGAAACACAGGATAAAAATAAAACATGGTTTGACTTGTCGCAAAATGTATTTTCAGTCATAATTTGAATTGTGCAGCCCTTTACAAAATGTAAGTGTTAATTTTAAGAAGATTGTGAGAAGCCAAATTTGATTGCACTTGTAGCCATCTTGGACTCAGCGAAGTCCCACAAACTGTGATCAGTTAAAATTTGGTGAAGTTTATTGAGAGGAATCCTCACCTGCACCCTGAAAAGTGTGGAAGATATTTTTCCATGCTTTTGTTAATGTGGACAAAGCATTCTTTAAACCTTCACATGAAGAACAGCATCTCTGCTGCACTGAAGTATCCATCTAGGTTACATGCCACACACTGGAGTGGAACTTGAGCCCTTGATCTTTGTCTTAGGAGCGAAAATAAACCAATACAGGGGATAAATTGCTGTAGTCTGGCCTTTTCAAAATCAGGTTTTCATTTTTATCTTCTCGCTCTCAATCTTGCAATCTTCATATTTACTTTTTGTTTTATTCTTCTTCCTTTCACCAACAGGGCCACTTCCTTTGTATCAGTAATTGCTATTTTTCCCCATAGGATGACTGTGTCTTTCTCCTCTTTTTATCATGTTTGGAACAAAACCCAAAGAAGTGAATGGAAGTTTCCCTCTGGGTAAACAGTAAAGGGTTTACGTGAAATGATTGTATTTAGTCTCTCTGCGATAGGAAAGATTTTAAGCTTGAAAGGGTTCAGAAAAATTTACAAGGATGTTGCCAGGGTTGGAGGGCTTGAGCTGTAGGAAGAGGTTGAATAGGCTGGGGCTATTTTCCCTGGAGCATCGGAGGCTGAGGGGTGACCTTTTGTAGAGGTTTATAAAATCATGACGGGCATGGATAGGGTGCATGATCAAGGTCTTTTTCCCAGATGGGGTATTCCAAAACTAGAGAGCACAGGTTTGGTTTAAAAGGGACCTGAGGGGCAACTTTTTCCATGTAGAGGGTGGTGCGTGTATGGAATGAGCTGCCAGGGGAAGTGATGGAGGCTGGTACAATTACAACATTTAAAAGGCATCTGTATGAGTACATGTATAGGAGGGGTTTAGAGGGATATGGGCCAAATGCTGGAAAATGGGACTAGTTTACTTTAGGATATCTGGTTGGCATGGACAAGTTGGACCAAAGGGTCTGTTTCTGTGCTGTATGACTATGGCTCTATAACTTATTAACATCTCAACTATAATCAATAGTCTCACTGAAACGGATCATAAAGAAATCTACTCTGAGAGATAGGAAATGTCACTGTAGTTAAAAACCATTTGTTCAGGGATAGTATGAGGTTGTTTTACTTTGCATAATTTGCAATAACAATAATTTGATGCTGATAGTTTGCAATCAAGTGGAGCAAATGTTCTTTATTCCATCACCGACATGCCACACGAAGTCAAATCTCTCCACTTGCCTATTAAAACCTCTACTATTGAAATTGAGATCTTATAAATGGGATTGAAAACATATAAGTGAGGGACAGGCAGTTGAGTACTCCATGGAAAAGGATCCCTGGCTGACTGAATTCAGAGGACATCAGCCATGGAAAGCAGCTAATTAAGTTTGACCGATGGATGATAGAAAGGTGCCAGGCTATTAGAGTGGGAAATGGAGAAGGTGAAATTTTGAAGACCTGTTTTTCAGGTGATAAGATAGGTTACATCTCCACTATGAAATAGCTAAGTTTGTTCTTAATGTCCTTCCAAATTCCATTGGCACTGAATGTCTTTCTGCCTTATTGGTAACAATAGTGTTCACAGAGAATTCTTCCCTCACCTTTTAACAAATACAAAGAATACAAATAGAGTTGAAGGAGACCTGGCCTGACATATTTTCCTAAATAACCTGTTCAGAGAGATTAATGCACACTCTGGAGCAGGTAGGACTTGAATCCTGGCTCAGAGGTGAGGACACTACCACTGCATCACAAGAACCCCTCCTGGCCTGACAGCTGCTGAGATGATGTTTCCCTTAGTGGGGGTGTCTAGAACTAGAAACATAGTAAATAACAGCAGAAGTAGGCCATTCGACCCTTCAAGACCTCTTCATTATTCAGTATAATCATGATTAATCATTGAGCTAACCTTATCGCTGTTCTCTTTTTTCCTTCCATACCATTTTATCCCTTTGACCTTAAGAACTTTGAATGTTTTCAAGAAGGAATGAAATGTTTTGGCCTCAACTGCTTTCTGTGGCAGAGGATTCCACAGGCTCATCACTCTCTGGGTTTAAAAAAAAAACTCATCATAAATGGCCCATTCTATCTCCTTCGACTGTGACCCCTGGTTGTGAACACTGAGATGAGGACAATCTTTTTTTGTCAGAGGGTTATTAGTCTATGGCATCCTCTTCCACAGGGACCAGTGGAGGCAGGGGCATTGAGTGTATCAAGACTGAATGAATGAATGGTTTTATTGTCATGTGTATTTTACTGTGAGAAAAGCAGTAAAATATAGTGAAAAGCTTTTCCACTGTCACTACGATCTGGTGCCAATTTGAATAGTTTTAAGAATAAGTGAAGGGGGGAAAAGAATCTTGATGAAGGTAGAGCGGCAGACATTATCTATATGGACTTCAGTAAGGTGTTCGACAAAGTTTCTCATAGTAGACTGGTTAGCAAAGTTAGATCATATGGAATACAGGGAGAAATCGCCATTTGGATGCAGATCTGGCTTGAGGGTAGGAGACAGAGGTTGGTGGTGGTGGAGCATTTTTTTAATCTGGAAGTCTGTGACCAGTGATGTGCTGCAAGGATCAGTGCTGGGTCCACTATATAAATTTATATAAATGATTTGGATGACAATATCGTGGGAATGGTTAGTAAATTTGCAGATGACACCAAAATTGGAGGTGTAGAGGACAGCGAAGATTACCTCAGTACAGTGGGGCCTTGATCAGATGGGCCAAGGAGTAGCAGATGGAGTTTAATTTAGATAAATGTATGGTGTTGCATTTTGGTAAGGCAAATCAAAGCAGGACTTGTACAGTTAATGGTAGGGTCCTGGGTAGTGTTGCCAAACAAAGAGACCTTGGGGTGCAGGTTCATAAGGTGGAGTCGCTGGTAGACAGGATAGTGAAGAAGGCGTTTAGTATGCTTGCTTTCATTGGTCAGTGCA